AAAATAATATATTATATATTTACATTAAATTATTATTAATTATCTTCTAAATACTCATTATTGTTATCATTTCCTCATAATACTAGCTTGCTTTAATCTTCTCTTTCATTCTAAACAAGTCGGCTCATAACTCAGCCCACAACTCATAGAATTAAACTCCAGATCAAGCTCAAACTCGATTAATTCATCAAGCTCAAACTGAAGGTAGCTCGAGCTCAACTCAACTAATTTAATATACTAGCTCAAACTCATAAAATTAAGCTTGAGATCAATATCAAACTCAATCAATCAATCAAACTCAATCAAACTCAGACTAAGGTTAACTTGAGCTAGACTCATTTCATTTACACCCCTACCATCAGATGAAAATTATGTATGAATGAATATAATAAAGTAGTAAATAATGAAAGACTTATGATAAAATATATGCAATAAAAATAAACAAACTTTTCTTAATAAATACCTCAAAACATTTAAAATAGATGAAATATAATTGCTATATTTACATTCGTATACATTCCAGATACAGATGGGAAACATTTCCGTTACAAATAAATGCAGATTTTATGAAACATGACAAAATGGTAATTTAGGAGTTAATATAACACATCGCCTGGGCTTGAAGATAGTAAGAATCCCTGAGTTTTCTGGCACTTCCTATGTGTATTCCGTTCTGAATCCAGTCCTCTCTATGGATCCATGCGTCCCGGCTGATGTCAAGAATGGCCAGAATCTGCCCAAAAACATTATAAATATAATATATTGGAAGGAGCTTTCAACTTTCTATTTAATTCATCAAGTAAATACTGAAACTGCACGCTGATATGCGAAGGCTTTAACGATCCGATTTCGAGCCGAGCTGGACTCGAATAGATTTAGTGCGGCTCGAAATCAGCTCGTGGTTAGCTATATTCAATTCCGAGCAGAGCCAGCTCGAAATTGAAGTGAGCTGGCTCAAATTGAGTTATTTGGATATGTTTCAACTCGGAATTGGTTTGATCCGGCTCAAAATTGAAACAAACTAGCTCAACATAAGTTATTTGGATATGTTCCGGCTTGAAATTAGCTCGTAATTGACTTGTGCCTTGTTTTTTTCAATTTTACTAAGTATGATATATATAATTGTTATAAATAATAAAAAAAAAACTATGAACCGATCTCGAGTCCGTTCGAGCCGATTCATATATGGCTTGAAATCGGCTCGAGAAAAATCAAAATTTGATCAAAAGTTTTAGATCATAGCTGTACTCGTTTATTTTGAGTCAAAATTATATCAAAAGTTTTGGATCATAGCTCTACTCGTTTATTTTGATCCGATCTCGATCAGAGCAAAATTTCGAATTGATTTTCGAGCGATTAATAATCTTTAAGCTAAATTCACATCCTCCACCAAGTCCCGTGATCGAGCACGCTAACCTCTAACCTAACTGCACTTAATGCTCACCAACCCGAAAATAAAAAAAAATACTAAAACAGCACTTTATTTCTACAAAATCATGAAGAAAATGAATTAAGGGAAAAATTTTTGAAGGAAGAGCCACTGTAAACAGAAGTTAAAATTGGATTAAAATCACGTCCAACTGAGTCTAGGGGTTTGCATTAATCGATTCGAAGGGAAATTTAAATAGGTACCACACCATGCTTCCGTATTTACATATCGAACGCCTAAACTTTGATATTTACACTTGTAAAACCTTGGCATCATAAATCTCGCCATGAAAAAGTGCATTTCACTTTTAAAAAGACAGTAATGGTGGTAGTTTTTACGTGTAAATGCCCCTCGATCGAAATTAAAAGAAAAAAACAAACATGTAAATACATAAAGGAAGCGGTTTACTTACTGTGCCACCTTTCCATGAAACAAATGAAGGATCACTTCTTGATTGCAGCACCTACAAACCATAAATTCTTTTTTATCCTTTTGCATTCTATTAGAATCATAAATAGGCAAAAATTAAAGATTATGTGCCTTAAGAAGTGTGCTATTTGTATAGGTATCATAATTTTAAGGATGATTTACTTACATAAACCACTCAATTCTTATGTATATTTACATATCAACACCTGAACTTTAATTTTCACATATAAGTAATCTTACCTATGTTAAAGCGGTGGTATTTTTTATATGATATGAAAGATTTGTGTGATATAAATGTGAAAAGAACAATTTAGGTGTTATACATGTAAATAGAAAGGACTTGTGAAAGTGCTAAACTAAATAAAAAAAATACATTGGAAAATGCTAAACTAAAGTGAAAGTGTGATGTATTTGTTAACGTTGGAAAAAAAGATGCCGGAAAGTAATGAAGATTAATATTGTAATTATAAAAATTCTAAAAGTTGCACGAAATAAAAAAAAATGCAGTAAGGAGCAAATAATAATAAAAAAAAAAAACTTAATAAACCTCAACAGTATCAATTGCTTCATTTGAAGGGATGGCCTGCAAAACTCTGCATGTATAAAATAAGAAAGATTCAGAGGCACGTAAATGAGAAAAATTAAAAAAAAATATATATATAAGAGAATTTGTAGTACTAAGATAAGCACAAACTAATCAATTAAAGTGAAAAGCAATAGGAAAATTAGCAAAACATATATTAAATCAACCAAGAATAATTGCTCGTACAAGCTTTGCATAGATAATTTCAATATATTTTTAATTTGATTTATTTAAACATATATTAATTAGGTTGTAATTTTTCTCTAGGATAATCTTAGGTTGGAATTTAATTTATGATAGTATTAGATATAAATTTAAGTTATCAGTCTAAGTCTCGTAACCCTATTAATTTCATTTCTAAAAAAAAAAAGATAAATGGCTTGTAATTAAACAGATTATTAGTCGATTGTTGAAAAAAGTTGTTTTGTGAGGCCAATATATGGTGTATATGAGTACATGTAATGTATAAAAGAATTATGAATAGCCAAAGAAGAGGGGAGGGATGGAGGTAGAACAGGAGAGGAAATAGAGAATCACAAAATTATATTATTAGCTTTATCCGAGACATACAGGATGGGTATATATAAGCCATGCTGAATATTCTAGTAGCTATACAAACACATTAACTAATTACCCCTAGGTGGTTATAATAGATGTGCACTCCACCTGCTCTTTGTCACTTTGTGTAGTGGTATCTCAATCTGGCCTGTTTGAAGATGGTACCAGATGAAGTGATAATATATCTCGATATGCTTCGTTCAGGCATGAAAAATTGGGTTGTTGGTGAGTGCCATGGCGGAGACATTGTCACAAAATGGCCTTATCGGTTGGGATTGAGAGACCCCGAGCTCCATTAAAAAATGGCGAAGCCATATAATGTCTTTTGTAGCCTCGGCCAAAGCGTGGTATTCCGCCTCCGTAGATGACCTTGCTACTATGTGTTGTTTCTTTACTGTCCACGCAATAGAAGCCTTACCAAGCATCGAACAAAACCCGCTAGTAGATTTGTGGTTAACCACATTACCAGCTCAATCGACATCCGAGAATGTTCGAAGAATAGGCTCTCCATGTGTGATAAGAATGCCATATTCAAGTGTACCATGTAGATGGTGAAGAAGCCGTTTAAGTATTTAGAGGTGATACGTTGTTGGTTTATGCATATGTTGGCATATTTGGTTCAACCAAAAAGAGATATCCGGCCAGGTAATTTTGAAGTATTGTAGAGATCCCGCAGCCCTTTACATTATGTTGGATTGTCCAAAAGTGGTTTGAGTCTCCGGTGTTCCTAATTTCTTACTTGGAAGAAGGGTGGAGACTGGTTTGCATCCCAACATAGCAATTTCTTGAAGAATGTTTTGAAGGTAAGATTGTTGACCCAAAAACATGGAGTGTGACTTCAATACCCAGAAATTTAAGAATCTCTGCTTAATTTGGAAGCGATTGAAAAGTTTTGTGGTCACTTGATTAACGGTGTCCATACAACCTCCCGTCAACAAAATATCATCTACATATAAAAGAACGAATATGTTACTTGCGAATTGGCAGAGAACAAGTAGGGACAGATCGACATGGTTAACTGTGAAGTCCAACTGGATAAAAAATTATAATATTGTAGTGTACCCTCTAGGGTACTGTTTGAGGCCATGTAAGGCTTTCTTCAGTAAGCACACATGTTGCGGGAACTACACATCCGTAAAGCCAGTTAGTTGTCTCATATAGGTCGTCTCCTGGAGAGTTCCATGAAAGGAAGAATTAGGCACATCAAATTGTAAGATTGGCCAGTGGTTATTGAAGGCCACTGTCAAGAGAGTTCGGAGATAAGGCATCTTCGCAACTGGGTTGAAAATCTCATAGTTGTTTATGCCATATTCTTGATTGATTCCTTGAGCTACAAGCCTTATTTTATAGCGCGTAACTGATCCATATGAGTGATATTTGGTACAATATCTCCATCTACATCCCAGCAGCGGTGTATTCGATGGAGGAGAAACAAGTGTCCATGTGCCTTGAGCTTGGAGTGCATGGAATTCAGCACTTATAGCTTCGCTCCCATCTTCATGCTTTGCAGCTTACGAGTAGGATGTAGGATCAGATTTGGGTGGAGTATGATGAAGTAGATTGAGGTGTCGAATGGGTTTCAAAGTGCCCGTTTTGGTACTGGTTATCATTGGGTGGTTTTGTATGGGAGGTGGCGCTGCAGACAGATAAGCTGCTGGCATAGAAACAGTTGGTCGAAGTTCATCAGGCGAAGAAGCTGAGGGCAAATCACCAGCAGGTAGATTTTCGGGCATAGGAGCAGAGGTAGGGGTAATTACGGACGTGTAGCAGTACCAATTGTGGTTTTCGGTGCTGGAAAAGAGGAAGGAATTTGCGAATTACGCTGTGAGTGGTGAATTGATGCAGGTATGAGGAGTAGTAGGTTGGATAGGGAGTTGGTTGAAGAGGAGGTTGAAGTAGAATCTTGAAGATGAGGAAGTATGGTTTCATGAAAAACAACGTGACTAGAAATGATAATTTTAGATGTGTTAGGGTTATAACATTTGAAACATTTGTGGCTTAAGAGTGTAGCCAAGAAAAGTGCACGGTGTGGATCGAAAGACGAATTTATGTGATGCTATCGGTTTCAACCATGGGTAGCATAGACAATCAAAAACTTTTAGATGGAAGTATAAAGTGGGCTTCTTGTATAGGAGTTCATAGGGAGCAAGCCATATTGTAATTTTTGAGGGCATGCGATTAATGAGATAAACGGAAGTGCGGAGAGCTTGAAGCCAAAATGTAAGTGGAAGAGGACATCATATAATAAGGTTCGGGTGGTCTCAATTAAGTGGCCGAGTTTACGTTCGGCCACTCCATTTTTTTGGAGTGTATATGAACAAGAGAATTGGTGAATAATTCCTCGTAGATGAAAGGCTTCTTGGAGCTTAGAATTGGTGTATTCTCCTCCGTTACCCGATCAAAAATTTTTATGGTAGTAGTGAATTGATTCTTGAGCATTTTAAGAAATTGCAATCATATTTGTGGAAGTTCATTTTTATGTTTGAGGGGGTATAACCAACAAAATTGGGAATATTCATCAATAAAAATTCCATAATAACGAAAGCCTTGATTTGATAATATTGGGGATGGACCCCATACATCTGAATGTATAATTTGGAAAGATAAATATATATTTAAGGAACTAGAAGGAAAAGGTTGTCTCTAACTTTTGCTACATTTGCAACTATTAAATAAAGAAAAATTATAATGGATTCCAAGTGCCGGTTGAGAATTGGAAAGGTGGTGTAGAGCATCCGGACGAGGATGTCCAAGCCTTTTGTGCTAAAATGCAGATGTTTGTGTGGATGTAGACAAAGCTTGATGAGTGGTGGACGTAGATGGATAGCGTTGTAAAGTAGGAATGGAGTACAGCCCCTTGGAGCTATGGCCACGAAGTAAGATTTGGTGAGTCTGTAGATCAAGGATAAGAAAGCCAGATTTAACAAATATAATGGCAACATTATAATCTTTAACAAGTTTATGAACGAAGAGCAAATTGTGGGAGAGTGATGGTAAATGCCATATGGAAGGAGGACGAAGAGGGCGGGTTGGTGTAGGAAGAATATCATCACCTGTATGGATTGGTCATTTCCCACAAGAACTTGTTCAGATCCTTTAGCCTGTGTAGATAGTTGGAGTTGGTCGAGATCTACCGTGAGGTGAGTTGTAACTCTGGAATCTAGAACCCATGACGATTTTGCTTGCAATGCATTGTTGGTGGGTGTATATTCGAGATTTGAATGGTGCCAGTAATGCGTAGTTGAGTGGCCAATTTTTTTACATATTTGTCACACAACTAGGTATCGGTGTGGGTTGCGACTTGATTTAGATCTCATAGTTAGAGGGCTGATTTCTTCCATGACCGTGGGATGAGTTGTTTTGGCGTCCCCGGTAAGCATTCAAGGCCAATTGGTGGTTAGCCGAGGACCCCAATTTTTGTTGAACTGTTGCTTGGTTGGTTTTATGTTTGCACAACAAGAAATAGAAGTCATCAAGTTCAATCGGTTGTAGTTGCTTAAGGATAGCCGTCTTGAATTCTTGGTAGTTCGGTGGTAGTCCGTTTAAAGTGTATAGGATGATATCCTCACGATCTAGATGTCCTCCTGCTGCTGATATATTATCCACCAATGTTTTGATGGTCGAGAGGTATCGGGTCATAGATTCATGGATTAAGTGTTCATTGAAAGATTATGAAGCTCATTTTTCCACTGCATGAGCCTCCATCTGTTTTTTGGTTGAAGACATTTGGCTAAGGTACTCCAAATTTCAGCGATGGTGGATAGGTAAAATAGTAAGGCAGGATTGCAGGAGAAATCATTGAGAACAGAGCTGCAAGTTTTGAGCAATGAGGATCCAACTTAAATATTGGGAATTAAGTATTAAGTTATCTTCATTGGAGAATAGATTTTTAGGTGAACATGGAGTGCTTCCTTGTATGAAACCTAAGAAACCATTTGTTGAATTGAGAACTTGTGCTCGCCATATATGATAGTTGTCGGCTGTAAGAGGGCTTTGATTGAAATTTTTCAGATTATTCTAAAGGAATTTCAATGATGGGGGTATTGCATTAGCTGGTAGAGTTTCCAGGAAGGGAGAATCAAGAGCATGACGAAGAAGATGACATTTTGGTAGGAGGGATCAGCGGGAAAAATAGATCCAGAAAGTCAATCGGGATAGCTACGAAAGGAGAAGAAAATTGTGAATCCATACTCTCCACACGAAGAAGATCGGGAGTCGATCTTCACTTCTCAGCCGCCTCCCAGTTGTGAGATTGAAGAAAACCCAAATTGCCTGGGTTGCTGCTCTGATGCCATAAAACAGGAGAGGAAATAGAGAATTATATCATTAGCTTTATCCGAGAGATACAGGATGAGTATATAAGCCATATTGAATATTCTAGTAGCTATACAAACACATTACCTAATTACCCCTAGGTGGTTATCATAGATGTGCACTCCACCAGTTCTTTGTCACTTGTGTAGTGGACAATACCCAAGATTGTTTCGGTTGTGAGGAGAGAGGGAGAAAAATACAAATATGCTATTCAAATTCAATACATAGACCTTATTCAATTTCTAAAATATTGCATTCATATTTAAAAAAAAAAACTATGGAAAATAGATGCTTATAATGTTAAAAAATTTCATTATCAGAAGGGCATCCATATAAACACGTAGATATACAATCACAAATAGTTGCTCTTGGAGTATTAATGCATATAGCCAATCGGTAAGAGAAGTATTAATCAATCTTTTACATAAAACTACAATAAACTAACTGTAGTGTTATATCTCAAAATATGGCCAAGCAAAAAACTGCTTCTGGGAAAATGAAAGCAAACCTCTCTTCAACCACAGGAACAAGACCAGGTGTCAAAGCAACTCCACCAATCTGCAAGAATATGCTAAAATATAAGAGGCTGGATTTGTAATATGAACTTTTAGCTCATAATATTCTAAAGCTCACAATTTGTATGCTGCAAAATAACTTCCTTTGAAGATCTATCCGGCCTGCAAGTTAAGAGCAAAAATTTACTAATGCTACAATTCTGATAACGAAATAACTAATCGTTGATACAGATTTAACATTGGAAGGTACCCTAAGAGTTTCCAAAGAGTGACACAAATTTTCTAACTACATGTAGTGGTGCACGAGTTTGATGGTTATATATAGCCCTATGAAGCATTGATAATCTGCACATTAACTTTTAGGAATATCAGCATGAATACCAATCAAATCTTATGTATTTACATATTAAACACCTAAACTTAAAATTTTTACATATATGCCAACTTAAGGTCCGTTTGGGGTGGCTTGTGCGTTTCAGGATAAGCTGTTTATCCTGAAATGCGGTCTGCGTTTAGTGTAAAAACCCAAACACAGTTTCGGATAAACTGGTGAAATGCGCGAACCAAACAGTACGGCGGCGTTTTGAAAACGCCGCCCGCACTTATGAGCTGCCCCAAGCGGGGCCTAAATTATGATCTTATGCATCATAAAGGTGTATTTCACATTTCAAAAGTTAAATTTGTGGTATTTTAGAAAGATTGGGCGGTCAGAATGTAAAAAAGCAAAGGGTGGGTGTTAGATATGTAAGTATATAAGAATTGAGTGGTATGTATGTAAATGCCCCTAAGTTTTAAAGTTCCATTTCTCCTTAAGATAACCCTCTGTAAAATATCTCAGCCTCTGCAACTTGCACACAGCTCCACCAAAGGACCAAAAGGGCAGAGGTGATTCCCAAGTGTTTCTCTTTTCAGATTCCCCTTCAACTAAAATAAAATGTACCACACAACAAAGTATAAGTACCTGTTGAAAGAATACTAGTGGTGATTGCCTCTGCAAGCCCAACCATTTCATATTTTTTGAGTCTTGTAGGGTAAACTTGATAAGTATCCCACATGGAAACACCAGTGCCGTTAGTGCCAAGATAGAAACCGTCGGACATGTCGGGTCTTCTGGCAAAGTCCATATGCCAAGTATCTTCTAGCATATCTTCATGGTCATGGAACCTGATAAGAATGAGAAGAATTGGAGAATTATACAAGCAAACAAAACCAAATGGAGAATTAGATATGGCTATAATATAATAGCACATAATTCTTAAGTATTTACATATCACCCCCAAACTTTTACATTTACTCACATAGCACTCAAATCTTTAATATCAGATAAAAAATAGCACTAATACCACTTTTAAAACTGAAATACTCCTTTTCATGCATTGCTTTAAAGAGCCTAAGTTAAATAAAATTTAATTGTGAGATATGTAAATACAAAAGAATTGTGTGCTGAGTATGTAAATTTCCCTAATATAAAAGTATCTAACCATGAGCGGGGTGGTGGTGGGTATTCTTCTGGGACAAAGAGAGTTGGATGGAAGAGACCCATAGGAGGAACCTAACAAACAAATTAATCACAATGCAGAATAAGATGTAGGTTTTTAACATACAAATCATGCTGGTTGAATCAATCATAATTGCGCAAAAAGAATTAATGATGAATGGTTCTAAAATGAGTGGTTTTGTAAAGTGAAAGAAAAGATGTTTTCAAACATTAAAGGAAGAGGTGAATTAGCAATTGTATTATGCTTGTCATCATCATTAATCTGATCTGCAATTTACCTTTTAGGACAATAAAATCCACAATTGTAGAACGGAGAAATAATTAACGCTCCCTTTAAAAAAATTAGTATAGAACGTACTAGAAGATTAAAACAAAAACATAATCTCTCAATTTATCCAATTGTTTTCTACAACGTGCACAAAGAATCCACAACTTGGTAAAAATTGATTCTGAGAAGGAAAAATTCACATAAGTTGAGTATTAACCTGGATAAAAATTTATTCCGAGGTGAGATTGAAACAGGCAATCCCAAGCAAGAGACATCCAGTGCATAAATACATTATTACGAAAACAAAACCAATAAATAATCATACACAAATTTGTTCTTATATAATTTTAACCATGAATAGAGCCAAAGAGTTCAAACTCACTTATGTTCAAAAAATGAACTTTACATCCAACCTTACTTAGCCAGAATCGCCTTGGTTTCATATTAAGAAAACAGACTCCAGAAAATCAAATGAATCACAGAGAGAATGAATAATAGTTCAGAATGTAATTTGTGAATTTCTGCTTAGAAATATTATGTTCGATTTAATAAAAACAAACAACGTAAAATTTCACATATTTGAGTGCACGTCTTATAAATTAACATCTAAACTTTTCTATTTACATGCACGACACTCAAGTCCTTAATATTACGTCAAAAATACTACTCTTACTAACTTTATAAAAGAGAAATACACCGTTTCATGCATAGGGTCATCATACCAAAGTTAAATGTAAATATCAAAATGTTAGATATGTAAATACATAAAAATTGTGGTATGTATGTAAATTTCCCTAAAATTTTACGTTACCCATTTTTTGTGATGGAAACTGCTATTCATTATGTCCAAATGATGCAAAAGCAAAAAAATAAAGAGAATAATATTACATGCATTAATGGAACATTTAATCCTTTTGAAATTAGTAGATTTTGGACACACAACATAACAAAAGAATGCAGGTAATCATGCATGAGGGTTCCTTTTCTTTTTCCATTATGGTTCTTTCCCTCTTCCTTTTGTTTATTTTGAGCATTATATTTTGTGTCTTTGAAGAGCTTAAAATGAACATTCGTCTTGTATCTGTACGGTTTACTTTCACAGAAAGCAAGTAACATATCCTGAATAGCAAAGATGTCTTCGGGTAATACTTGTCATAGCTAGCAAGCATCAGGTAGTACTTGTCGTAACTAGCAAGCTAGCTAACATCAGGTAGTACTTGCCATAACTAGCAAACATTTCATCGATCTACACTCATGATAAATGATATATTTGCAATGATTGCACTAAAGAAAGATGGGTTACATTGAGGGCAGCCAGTCTAGCCTTGTGTGAACCAGGAGGCTTGCCTTCCTCACAAGAGTGAACAATCGCCACAGCATCAAACTCGCCCTCCTGAAAAAAAAAGGGGGAAGTCAATAGTAACATTGACGAAAGCCAAAAATAGCCTGCAAAAGTGGCAAGGAAAATGTACTTTTCTATCTAATATGAAATATATTGGCATATTAATGACTGAATAACATAACCGAAAAGTAACTTGAGAATAAAACAAGGGGCATTTGCATACAAAACACACAATTATTATGTATTTACACATCTCAAAGCTAATGTTATCTTTACACACATAGCACTCAAATCCTTAATATCACATATACAAAACACTATTACCACTTTTTAAAAAGTGAAATACAATATGAAAGTTTAGGTGTGAGACATGCAGATAAAAATTTTTACTTCTCGTAATTAATTGAAACAATCCGACAAAGAAATTGGCACAAATTTTCATAGAATCTAGGGCAAAACAAATATTTATCTTTAATAATCCGAATACAAAGATAAGTACCTACAATACGAGAGGTAGACAATATCTCCCAATTCCTATAAGTCGAAAGGTAGAAAATCTCTTCCAAACCCTAAACCTAAGACTCACAAAAGAAATCTAACCCTAAACATAATAAGCCTAATTATACCCCACAATAATAAAAATAAAAGACCAAATTGCCCTTAGGCTAAGCACCGGCATAACATTGACTTGGTTCCATGCTTGAAACTTTGATTCAATCAAAACACAATAAGAAGATTGCAGGTAGAAAATTTTGAAAAAAAATACTATCAATTAATGAGAGGGGGGAAGGCCAAAACTAGGCTTTTGGACAACTAGGTTTTCGGCTAAGACAGATTAGAGGAGGTCCCGGTTTAGTAGATGTGAGAAATTTGAATATAGAAAAATGAATTGCATTTAAATTTCATATCATTATATAACTACAAAGAGCTTAGCATAATCTCCTATTCAAAAAGTACAGGTATAAAGACAATTATGAAAATAAACTACTATAAAGATAGAAGATAATTTCTAACAATTGTCCTTCATTATAAATATAAAATAAATGAAAAAAAAAAACTTGTGACAAGAATGAACCGAAATAAATAAGAGTTGAGGCAGAACAAATAAATAAAAAACGTAGAAAGGACAACAGAAAAATTTGCACAACAACTGCATATTCTAAAAAAACAAGTAAAAGAAATAAAAGGCAAATAAACTACATGGAAAATAAGGGAAGAATAGAGAAAGAAGCAGGAAAAAAGTTATTTAAGAGGAAAAAAAATAAAGCAAAAAAAAACTCACTCTAATCTGGCAATAAGACTCTTTTATTTTATTCAGCATGAGCATGTCAATTGGCTTTGTTACCGGATCTGTATTTATACTCGGCCAAGCATGATGACGGCGTTGAACCCACAAAAGGCATCTTGAAATGTCCTAACACCATTAATAAAATAGGCAGTTAAACACAGCAGGTGAGTGCTATAGAATATTACAACATTTATATGAGATTTATGATGACTTGGTATTTGCCCATTTTTATTCAAATAAATCATTACAAAATACATAATTCACAAAAGATTATCAGATACAAAAATTTAAAATTCCTTGAAGTGGCTGTTGCATACACTAATAATTGTAATTAACACAATATACTGGTAAATGAAAAATTCATATAAAGCTACACATCAAAAGAAGACCGAAAGAATAAAAATGGAATTCACAGAAGACAGCCTCACAGCACCATACAGCTATAAGATCACAAGTCCGCATTTCCAAAATCTCGTCCTTCCATATTCCTTAAAAATTCACAAACAAAATGAATCTATCTTCCCACAAAACTAACAAAAAGATTGAAACACAATAGCGTGCATTAACGCCTGGATTGATCAACACATACATAAAGTTCAAACTAGTTGATGCATAAGCCTCAATTCAATTTTATTATGCGTCAGAATGAAACAGCTTCTAAGGCATAGGTTTTGAAAGTTTTTTACAACCACAATCCAACCACTAAAGGTTTATTACATACAATGCATTGAAGCAACTCGAGGCTTTTTATCACCAATTACATCCTCAAGTATATCTATGCTAAAAGGCTAGAACTAGCTAATCCACAAAACTTGTCAGCTCTGTTAGCTTCCTTTTGCTATCATCAGCTCCTTCCCAAAATATTTGATTTCCCTATTTTTTTGGGTAGAGATCGAAATTAAGAATTTGGCTATTATCCTTTTACTCTTATGGTGATAGGAGTTGCATGAAATTTTAAAGATAACATTATTAAACTAATATTTTTCCGGTCATTTACAAGCATCCCACCAAATTCCTATGCATTTACATATCTAACACCAAAACTTAATTTTTAACATTCATACCAACCAGATCTTTCATACCACCTCAAGAATACCACCATTTTACCTTTTAAAAGTGAAATACACCTTTTCTTGCACATAAATGGTGGCATGTATGTAAAAATTAAACTTTAGGTGTTACAAATGTAAACAAATAAGAACTGTGTGCTACGTATGTAAATCCCCCCCCCCCCCCTTTTTTTATCATTTTAACTACACGTAAGAGAATACCAACATTCTAATTTACTTCTTTTTTTTTCAAAGATACAATTTTAAATCTTGCCACGTTAAGCCAATCTCCAACTACATCCAATTCAAACATTGTTATCAGAACACAGGCCACCTTTACAGCATTTCAAGTAATTAAAAGCATAACGTGCCATATTAACTTATCTGCAAGCATTATTACCACATACAATGAAAATATGATGTTAAGAATATCCAATTGTCATTTCCCATAAGCCACATTAAAAGGAATCGCAACACTCACCTCTCCACCATATGGCATTGTAATTATTGTTGAAGGTAAAGCAACTCCATCCTGAAAGCGGATCACCATAACAAACAGAAATGTCATTTACAGAGATTTAGATTGTATAATTTCTCAAAGACATCAATTTAAAACTCAAATTTTCATAAAAAGATGAGGGGAGCAAAATAAAATTAAAAAAGCCGTTGAAATAAATATGCAGAAACTGGCAAATTCTAAAACAACGGTTCAAAGTAAAGATGAGTATAGAGTTCCTTGCCTCAATACAAATTACAGATGTAACTTGAGCACCAATGTTTACTACGCAAGCCGTCGATAGTCCATTTCCAAAAGCCGTCGCAAGTCCTTCCTGTTTTAAGGGTTTATAAATAATAAAACCAAATTTCTAAAGCAAAATCCAAAAAGTATGTCTAGGATGAATATACAAGGTTGAGAAGGGGGGATTTAGAAGGAGGATTCATGTGATACAACCAATAATAGATCAGACCAAGCTTCAGATTTTTCAAAAAGAATCCATACAATTGGTATCATTCAAATTGTTTAACACTCCCCATCGCCAAATTAGAAAAAAATTTCTATCTAAATTGAGAAGAGCAAGAATGCTACAGGAGGTATAATAGAATCCATTCACTTGATTCATCTCTAAAGTAATACTTCATGTATATTTCTACGTATAGAAAAAGTCAGGAACTTCATACTGTTGTAAGGGTTCAACAAGATCATGCAAATTGAGTCGCAAAACGTTACATAAACAATAACAAAGAGCAGTAAACAAAGGATCAGAAGATTATTGAGTCTAAGCTTCTCACAAATTTTTTGTTAAACAAGCAGAAAAATAGATTTCCCGAACAAATTTCTGCAATGTTAAGGTCTAAATCTGCCATTGAAAGTAATTATGCATGTGCAGCTTCAAATTTAATCCTTAATTAAAACTGAAAAATTGAGAACTCTGAGCAAACTTTGCATTTAAGTTCCAAAGAATCTGAAAATACCACTGGGTAGTATGTAGATGTTGACCTCATTTTTAGTGAGGTCTAGTTTTCTTCTTAGGGTTTAGGGTCTAGCCTTAGGGTTCTCCCTTTGACTATCTTAGAACCTTAGAAATGGGACCCACCTCATTTTAGAAATCCAACCTACTTCTTTACCCTTCTGGAGTTTCTCATGTTTGGTATCGGTCTCTAGCACTTAAGAGATTGAAACCAACATGAGGAAGCCCAAAAGGAGTCCCTATATGACCTTTAAGTCCTAGGATTGTCTTATGCACAATTTGCACATTCGCGCGCACGAACTTCATAAGTCGGAGAGTCGATACGTTCGATCACTACAATTCGTATCGTCTACGCCATTATTTATCGAAAGCTTAAATAAAATTTGAAACGATCAATCACGGACTCGAAATTTTAATAAAACCGATTTTGACACGTTTTTTGACCCGATCGTCGACGAGGTTGTCCAAACGACCTCGGATGACGAAACGGACTGCGTTGGTGCGTCCGGAATATTGATTTTAGCTAGGGCGCCGCACAAAAAATAAATTACACAAAATTTGATTCTTTTTAAATTAAAAAAAAAAGAAAAATTCTTATTTTAAAATCCCTAACTCACGCACACGGCTCCACTTTTCTTTTCCCGTTCGCGAGCCAAACTCACACCCGAGCCCTGGCCTCGCTTCTTCCTCTCGGTCGCGGCTCCAGCCGAACCCCTTCTCTGCTCTCCGATCGCAAGCCCTAGCCGAATCGAACGCTCCTCTTCTTCCTCGCGTGATGCGCTGGCTCGAGATCCCCTCGTACACTCCACGTGCTCCGGTTTCTGGCAAAAACTTCGCCTGCTCCCTCCTCTGCCTAAAAGCTTCACCTTTGTCATCGTCTTTCCCCCCACGCAACTCTTGTTGCTTCTCTTGGCTAGGCTCACCGTCCAGGTGAATGAAGGTAACTCCTTCTCCTCCCCCTTTGCTATAAAAACCCCACTTGGGAAAGGGTTTTGGGTTGGCAAAAAAAATCGGGAGAGGGGAGGTTCTGCCGAAATTCCCTGGCTTGGTGGTTGCTCGCTCTCGGAGCTCCGTAGCTTGTTCCCCTGTTCTTTCTTTTAGGTCAGCCGAGCAAGGTAAGCCCTCTCCCTTCTCTTCTTCCATTTTGGGTGTTACTTTGCTAACATAAATTACGTGAGGGATGGGAGGCTGCTGTTGAGAATTTGGAGGTAATTGTTTTATTTTATTTACCCTATGCCTGCTCTCTGATTTCATGGTTGCATTCTTCTCATCCATTTGTTCATAAACTGCTAATAGTTGGTTCCCATTTGAGGATATCTAGCTGCTGCATAGAAAGTTGTTTGAGGATTTGTTTCAACTTTAGTTAGAACTTTTTGGCCTTTTTTTTAATGGTGCTTGGTTTGAAAGTTTGATTGATCCGATTAACGAGTTTCATTACCTTTTAGTCTCAATAGAATTGGTTGGTAAGAGATTTATATATAGCACCATTTAATTTCTGGATGTTTAAGTGTATAACATTTGAATAAAAAATGATATCTTAGTTTCATATATTTGCTGCTTGGAGTCTTGCTTTCCTTGCTAGATCACTCCTGGTAGTTTACAGATTTTAGTATGACGAGACAAAGCCAGTCCCTAATAACCATATCTTCTGCATACGAACTGATCTAATTATCGGTTGGAAATATATGGATTGTGCTCTTTGTAACAGGTCAATTTAGTGGCTTCCTTTGTGAATATGCTGAAGTAAATTTTAAACCTTAAGGAGTGCAGTGATTCTTCTTGTTTCCTAGCCTATCGATTGATAAACACTGATAAAGTGGACATAATGTATTGATGGAGATTTGGTTGATGGCAAAGTTCAATGGGAAAACTTTTCAATATAAAAGCTTGCACTTCACATGTTTTCCTTCTATCAGCAGCACCTAATTCCCTCGTATTTACATGCATACCACCCAAATTTTTGTACCTTTACATATCTAACACCTAAATTTTACTTTTTT